CTGGACATCCACTTACACAATAATAACAATCTCCTAATGTTGAAATTTTTTCGCATCCATGATGTTCACATAAATCATCAAATCTTTCAAAAAGATCATTTAAAATGCCTACTAATTCTTCTGCAGTCTTATTTGAACTCATTCGTGTAAATCCAACAATATCAGCAAATAAGATACTAACATTTTCCATTGAATGCATATTAAATGGTCGAAACAATGAGCGAATATCTGTATTATTGGACGGTATCGAACCTTTTTTTAAAGAATCCTCTCGTTCTCTTTCACATTCTCTTTCTTCCATTAACCAATCTGCGACTTTAGGCGGCATTACTGAATGAATCATTTTCTCTTTAAGTTGTTTTTCCATTTCAAGTTGACGCCGAACTAATAACGATTGTCCAACTTTCATAAATGTACCACGCATTCTTACAAAAGTCATTATTAAAATATGTATACCTATCAGATGAATGCAGATCTGCATTAAGATTCTTATTCCAAGACTCGTAGAAAAATAATCATCCGAAAATGATTGATTAGATATGTTGCTACTTAAGAAATAGTTTGACATGTCATCATTTTTATGAGTTAATATATTTTCTTTAAATATTGAAGTTATATTGTTTATACCTTTGGAGATTAAATTATTAGATGAAGCATTTATAGTGGAATTAATAGTAGTTGACATCATAGTAGAATTTAAATTTTTAAAAACATTTGTATCATTCAAAACGCTAGATATCTTTTCAATTATATTTTCTTGATTCGATTTCATTCCAAAAGCAGATAACATTTTTGGATCTTGTGAATATGATATCATTTTCACATTTGCAGTTGTAGATTCGTTGTTATCATGCATCACATTAGAAAATTGACTATTAGTAAAATTTTTCAAAGAAGAGTACATAGCTGCTGATATTCTGCTATAATTTATTGTGGCATTACTCTCTGTTGAAGTATTTAGTAGAAAATTTTCACTAAAAAATTTTTCTCTTGCATTTTTTGTACCATATAAATAAGCAGTCAAAAATTCAAAAAGAAAAGAATAAATCATTGATATTCCCACACAAGCATATAGTGGCATTGGTAAGACAGTATATATCAATAATAGAATCTCAGAACATAGTGCAAAATGTCCGACTAGAGTTAAGCCATCTATATAAGGTGGTACTAATGTAAGAAAAAGTAAAGATAAAATGCAAAGCATAGATGCAACTCCTAATGAAATTGGTAACACATAACTTTTATAATAATCTGTATATGTTAGATACAAAACTGCTGTTACCATTGTTCCAACAATAATAAAAACTGTTACTATGGCTGGCCATGTTGTAGTATTGTATTCTGTTCCAATTACAACAAAATATACCAACCATGATAAAGAAACCAGTAAGATATATTTTAGAGCATACCTGAAATATATTTACTATTAAAATTAACATGATATTTACCATTAAAATTAATAAACAGATATAACAATATTATATTATTATTATTTATACCGGAATCTTAATCTAATTTGTGGAAAGGCACTTCTTTTAAATTGTTCTTCTAATATTTCTGAATCAAATCTGGGATTCCACCAAGATCTTGGTGCTGCACGTTCAAATGGTACTGGAAGGCTAATTCCACAACATCCAAGTCCTTGTCCACTATGTGCCAAGTATGTTTGTATATATGGAGCTAAAGATATATGAATTTCATCTGCAGTATCTTCACTACCATTCTTAGCTCTTGTAAAACTAACAGAAGAGCTTCGTTTTCGATTTAAAGGAGAAGTCATATTTGAAATTCAAATTGCACTAAAATCATTATATATAATGTAAATTTATAGTAAACTTATATTTAATAATAATATAAATTAAATTATAATAATTTATAACTTACATTAAATTATAAAAATAATTTATAGATTAAATGTAAAAAATAATTTT